GTAGATTTCAACTGCTACAACTACAACTAACTTGTCATGGGTCATACCACACATCCGTTTTACTAGCCTTTCTCGTACAACTTAGAAGCTTTTATGAATCAGAGGGGTGTGTAATGCATTAAGAAGGTGGCAACTTGATTTGAATTATGTAATTTTCTGACCTGTAAAAGAGTGCTGTATTTGGCTAGTAAATGATGCACCGAAAACGAGCTTGTTTGTCAAATTGACTACCACATTTGAAACTGCCTAAATAATCACTCCAAATATCCTAGGCCAATCCTTGGGGTTTTGTTATTTTATATGTTGTCACCGATCATACAGATTAGTAAATAAGTCGAGTATTTTTTACTTGACCTGACTCCCTTCGCTTTATCACTTTTCACAGAAAATGCCGTATGAAGCCGGTATAGTCCGCCAATTCGCGTTTACATCCACCCTACAACGCATGTCTGTGGTAGCACGTGTCCTTGGTGGTCAACAGTTTCACATTTACACCAAGGGTGCCCCAGAGACAATTGAGCTTCTGTGTCGTCGAGATACTGGTGAGTTTTAATCAGTCCAATACTATTTGCGAATCCTCCTTTCTTCTTCTTTTCAATTCGCTAGTCTTTCTCTATGTCTTACGTCAATCTCAGGACCAGTAGAGCATAATAGCATTTTTTTTATTGAAAAAATGAAGTGACTAAGTTTGATCAACTGCCGGTTGGTCAGTTGGCTAGTACGCTCGTGTCATACCTGTGAGCTCTCGGGTACGTTCCTCGGTCGAAAGGATAGTTTCAATCCGCTGACGGTGCCTAACCAAGTTAACACAGTTGTACATTGCTTCCTAGTGTTTCAGTTGATGGTTCGTTTTCTCTATACACGTGGAAATGTTTTGTGTTGTACTACATTCCTTAATAAATCTGCTCACTCATTTTTGAATCCCTATTTTTTTCTTTAAAATGGAATTAATTGTGAGTAATATACCTTATTGGCTTGGTGATTTTGCCGGTTTTTCGGTTGATAGATAAATGAACTGCAAGATCCACAGTTCACTGATTGCTGTCATGTCCGGTGTTATCATTAGCATATGACTTCTGCTGTTTTAGTGCCCCCGGACTTCCATTCGGTTCTAATGGAATATACACGTGCTGGCTACCGGGTGTTGGCTCTCGCTTGGCGTCCACTGAAGATCACTTACGCCCGTGTTGTAAAAATTCGACGCGAACGTGTTGAACAGGATCTATCATTTCTTGGTCTCTTGATCATGGAAAACCGATTAAAACCAGAAACAGCACCAGTGATTGAGGTATTGCGCAATGCCAACATTCGACCGATCATGGTCACAGGTTTGTGGTGAATATTCACTTTAAAAGCGGCACTCACCGCTTACCTAAATCAATAAATGTTGCTGATACCTGGTTCCACAGGTGATATTTTACAGAGTATTCCTACGGGGGAGCTAATTGTTATCGTGTCCACACTTGATTATTTGCAGCTTGCACCGTTCTCACAACTGAAGCTGAACTTGTAGCGTCTACTCGTGCCATTGACTTAATTTGGTGGTTTTGCATGTTTTGTGAAGCATCTATCTGAATACCTGGATATTTCTTGATGACGAACCTTTTTGCCCGAAACCGACGTTTAATGTTGGTGTTTAGCGTCACTCAATTTATAGATAAGATGTGTATGGTGATTGTGTGTCATGCTAATACTCGAATATTACAGATATGTAGTGCAACCATTGTTGTTCGGAGGGATCGTGAATGAATTTGCATTCTTACACTGCTCTGGTTAGATATTTTAACAGCGATAGACAGGTGGGGTTTCACAGGTGCTTGTTTCGTGTCACAAATTGCTTTATTCAGTCTTGTTGTTTTGCTTATATGAAATAGACTAAGATGAATTAAATAAATTCCTACATTATTCTTCAAATAGGTGATAATATGCTGACTGCTCTGTCAGTTGCTAGAGATTGTGTTATGATTGATGAATTGGACAGAATAGTAATCGTCTCAGCACAACCACCGACGAATGTGAACTCCGCTATGGCTACTGGTTATAATCAAGAGCAAAACAACACCGGACCCGAGACTTCGACTTCATCTCACTCCCCACGCAGTACCCCACTGGAAGGAGGGCAACTTGAATTCGACAAGCCGTCATTGGTACAGTTTCATTATGCCGAAGATTTGCACAAACCGGTGACTGAGGTAACTACGACTAAACGTATGGCAGGGTCGCATCGTGCCAAGCCATTCTCGCGAAGAACAAAAGGCGTGTCATATGTTTGCCGTCGATGGTTTAAATCCTTCTCAAATCTATGGTCCAAGTAAGTTTTTTCTCTGTTTACTACATTGATCTTTTACAAATTTGATTCTATATCAACGAATGCAGAATAGCTGGAAACTTTATCTTGACTAAAGATAGTTGGTGTTAAATCCAAATGACTATCCAGGCCAACGTTGAGTGACGCGCAACCTCAGAAGCCAAGTCCAAGTTTTCTAGAGGTTTATTCGACTCCAACAATAGCGAATAAGTATGCGGTACTGTAAATATTAAGCGTCACAATTACATAAACAACACACCTCAAATTGTGGCGTTCCCAGGGGGTATGCCTGAATCGGCGAAATTAACAATGCCAATCGAGAACCAAGATGCAAACGAGGGAGTTCACCACTCCGTCAAACGAACAGGCGATAAGTGAAATAACGTCAAAGCGCACACGGGACAGGGCGACACACGGGTGAAACTGAGGACCAATCCGGATAAGATTAGGCAACTCCATACGATTGTAATAGGGTAGGGTGAGTCAGACCATATCAAGGTCAGGGACAACGGTCACGAGAATGAGAGGGGGAATCAAGTGTGGTAGGCGAATGAAGAGATGGAATGGACGAAAGGTGCATGTCCGATGATCGATAATACGTACGGGTCAGACAATGACACTGGAGG